TTCAATATGCCTCTTCAACACAGTGAAGCCTGGCCACTCCCAATGAGCACTAAGCAGCCTTCAAAACCAGGTTCTCCCAACTGGAAGAAAAGCACAGTGTCATTTTCACAATCACTAACATATTGCAAAAGTAAGATAGAGGCGCATGGTTATCTAACAGGACCAGGCAAGGATTTAAAAATACTCAGATGTCAGAATTTCCGCTTAGTCTTCCAGGAGGCTGAAGGAGATGGACTAGGACAGTATCAAAGGGCATCTTCAGATGAAGCAGGCAACACTGAGCTAACACAGCTTCATTTCCAAATACATCACTTCATTCCAAGGAGAGTGAGAGTAAAAGCCAGTTCTGATTTGGATACACAGGGAACAGACCTTGTGCTGCTGGCAGGCAGGCTGCAGATTTCTGTGGTAAGAACTGCTTCTGCCCAGGCCCCACGATCAAAGCACTTATTATTTCTTAGTCACATGCCTGTGCCCCCAGTCCCCTGGGTTCCAAAGATGTGACACAGAAGGACAATTCAGAACACACCAAGTTCAGAATTTTAGGGTAAGGCCTCATGAGAGGAGAGCACTCACCCCACTGTGTAAGCAAGACAGGGTTTTCCACACAATCACTAGCTCCGGGCTACAGTAAAGTGCTAAGGTTATCCTGGTGTGTTTGCACAGTGTGGTCATGCAGAGCCGGTACACATACAACCTCCATACCCGGTACTGCTCTCCCAGGGAGTTCTTCACACCTCATCACACACATATAGGCTTTCCTCAGCCCTAGGCCAGACCTTACCCTTTATTGTGAGCATGTGTGTGAAGCCAGATGTCAACATCTGGAGTCTTCCTTTATTGATCTTCCCCTTTTGATTTTGAGACATGGTCTCTCCTTACTGAACCTGGAGCTCACTCACCAGTGAGAACACTGGCTGTCAAAGAGCCCCAGGCATCTTCCTGTTTCCACCTCCCTGGTTCTGAGGTTATAGATCCACACTGCACGACCACACTGAGGCACTGGGGACTGAACTCAGGTCCTTGGGTTTGCATGGCCAGTACTTTACCCATGGGCCATCTCCTGTGCAGTCTCTACACTCTAAGTAGGAAAAGGAAGTTTTCCTCATTGCTGGAACGGTAGTGTTCCTGCTCTCTAGGGGACAGAGATGGGCATTTCCTGTGACTCGGGGAATGTTGCTTCTCCCTTCCAGGCTGCTGGCCATGGCCTTCCTTCTCCTGATCAGCAATAATAATTGGAGTCCAGAGGTCACTGGTATCAGGAGACACGTGCTAGAGAGAGCTAGCTAATCCTGGCCTGGGGTAATGATGGACACAGTAATGTTTTACATTGTATTGATTTTGTGTGTGTGTGTGTGCAGGAGCACATGTGTTCCGTGTGTGTTAGAGAGGGACAGAACAATTTACAACAATCGGTTCTCTGTTTCCACCATGTGGGGCCCTCAGGTTGCCAGGTTTGACAACCAGCAGCTTTACCTGCTGAGCCATCTTGCAGCCTGTGACCAGAAAGGTGAGACGCTCAGGACACAGGCTGCTGAGCAAGCGGGCGTGGACCGCTGCGAGTCCACGTGGACCAGCGTCTCCTCCATCTGCGGCATTTTAACTGGAAAGGGGGACACTGGACTGTGTGAAGGTAGAGTGTGACTCAGAGGCCTGCCCATGGGCTGCAGACCGGCACCACTGTAGGACATGTGCCCCTGTGGGGCCACAATGTGGTCCCCATCTCTTCAGTCTCTATTTCTCCTTAGGCTGTGACTTCTCAGAAGAGGCAAATCTCAGGAACTGAAGTATAGGGAAATGGACATGAATGCTGAGATAAAAGGAAAATCATAAGTGGACACCCCTCACAGCGATAACTCAGATACCAAACTCTAGGACATACAGCCAGGAAAGCCACACTTGAGCAATGGAAACAGAACATGTTAGTTCCTGCAGGGGTCTCAGGGCTGCCCCTGCACCCACAGTGCCTACATGTTCTCTATAGGACCAGGACTGCCAAGGAGGCAGAGAGCTAGACTGCCTCTTTCCCCTCAGCAGGTGGAGGGCACAAAATACAGAAATGGGAGGAGGAACCAGCAGTTAAGTATGCCACCGGGGGCAGGTGCCAGCCCTGCCTCGACTTCCCTGTCTGTCCAAACTTGTCTGCAGCAATGTACTGTCCCCAGCAGTACATGGCAGGTGCAGACCACCTGACAGTACCGCATTGCTGGGAGTGTTCCACAAGAGCCCAGTGTGGCAACCTTCCCTGAACTTCCCAAACCACCTCAGGATCAGCAGCTGACTCCTATGTGGGTCAGTTTCCCAGAAGTTGGTCCCAACTTACAGGAGATCCTGCTCACACCCAGGAGGCTTGCAGATCCCCTGGAATGTTCAGGGCCCTTAAATGATCCCTGTCACAGTGACAACATGCTCGTGTGCCTGCCGAAGCTTGAGGATATAAACCTCCTCACACAGTACAGCAGCTGCTTAAGTCCGACATCCCTGGAGACACACACAGAGCAGCACAGACACACACAGAAACTCTAATGCAGGAACAAGGGTAAGACCAGAATGGCAATGAAGATGTTTGGCAAAAATCCTCCAGATGCCAATGCTTAAGACCTAACCCAATTTTAAAGACAGTGCACCCACAGGCCCTGGCCCAGCTCCATCAGGGATCTGGACAGATGGCAGCCAGCAGCCAACAGAAGGGTCCATAGGCAGCAGGCCTGCCTCTTCCACCTACTTTCCACATACCTGTGAGTCAACATGAGGCAGTCAGGAGGCCCAGGGCCTTATGGGGAAAGGGGCCATGTTTCTGAGTCACATATTTCTGTGACAGCCTTGTTATTATTTTAAAAAGACATGACGGCACATTTTCAGGTTTGAGACAGGCTGAGACCCGAACCACAGGAGAGAATACAATGTCAAGTCTCAGTCATGGCTCTAAGGCAGATGTTACAGCTCTCACAGGGATGGAAATGGAGACCCCAGCACACTGTGTCAGGGCAAGTACACAGTCCTCACAGCACCATGGGCATGGGATGACTAGAACCAACTTCAGATCCTCAGGTCCTGCCAGCTGGGCCTGGGCCCGGGCCCACATGGTTGTGGTAGTGTGAGTCCTGGGCCATCTCATCATCACCAAAGACACGTTTGGGAGCCAACACACTCTGACCATCTCATGTTTGTTTTATCAATTGCTGCAGGCCATTATCATTTAATACAGTAGATGTCAATTAATATTCAAGGTGACAACCTACCAGCAACAAACTCTCTGATGGAGGAATCTCCTTTAAGCAAGGCTATACGAATACAGACTCCAGAATATCATTTACTTCTGTTTGTAACTTCACATATGTGTTATTACAATCTTTCCCTAGTGGCTATGGAGAATCCCCCACTGATTATATCTAGTAGGTGCTTTTCTCCTGAATACAACCCAATTTACTGGGCATTTCTCTCTGTGGATTGTCAAGAAAGTGGCTCCTCCTTAGCTGCATTGTTCAATTGATATTAATAATGTTAGCCTATACAGAGTTTTGATGAATACAATAAATACAAAGACATGTTACACAAGTCAGGGGTTATAAGCTCTACTTAAGCTGTGCTCCAAGACAGCTCTTATTTTCACAAGCTTCCAAGATAGCCATATCCTATCAACTGATATAAAACTGGTTTAGATTAGGTCAGGTGCCTTGCTAATGGTTTCCAAGATAAACTATCCCCAGAAAAGAAAAAAAAAAAGATCTTATTTAAAAGATCATATAACAAACTGGTCTGTTGAACCAAGGTAAAAATTTGAAGCAACTTAATTGCTATGCCAGGTCTGATTGATAATCAAGGACAATGATTAACATACAAACTTACCAGATCAAGAATTCCAGATACAGTGTTTCAGCCTAGACCTGAAGATCATGAAAAATACAGTGGGGACCCCAAGCACCCTCAAAGACTGCACATTGTTACAAGGGAAAAAGATATAGTCAAGATGCTTGGGCTACAGAAGGCACATAGCCCCCAAATTCACAAGACCATCCCTTCAGTGAATGCAAAGTTGAAAGTGCTTCAACACTTGATATGCATCCAGCCCCTGAAGCTGCCACAAAGTCTTCCCATAGAACAGACCATGTCTAGCACCGTGCCTCAAGATAATTGCGGAATTAATTGAGAGTACAGTGGCATCTGAAGCCTGTAGAGCAGGAAGCAAAGTCCTGATGCCACACAGCTGCAGATTACAAACTGCAGTTACTGAGGAAATGGTTCTCATCAAAGTGTATTTCAATCAAAAAAAAAAAAAAAAAAAAGATTTAAAATGCCTTTAACGTCTCTGTGCCTTGGACAGTGCTGAGTAAGGTTATCTGTGCTGGATCCCCTGCCTTGCAGCTCAAGCTCTGGGGGAACACCCCAGCTGTGCCAACACATGGCCCAGCTTTTACAACCGCTAACCACAAAATGTTAGTTTAAAATGTTTATACACTTAGAAGGATATAGCACACAATTTCCTTATTTCTATTAGTGTCCTTAGTAGTTTAGATTTATAAGGCTACCTCTATAGACAAGATAACACAGAAGACTTCTCTTATCGAAGCTGCCTAATAATTAGGGAGTTGACTAAGAAGGTGGATAAGGAAAACCAGCAGAAGAATTAATATTGATGTGAGGTGTGGACAGGCTGACATGGCTAGTGAGGTGTCCCTTTGTCCCCTTCCTCCCTGACTGCTTCACCCCTCCTGAAACTGCACAGAGAACACCTCACCTGCATGGAGGAGTGCTGTCCTGCAGCCAAGGGTAAATGGCTAGCCTTCTCCCTGCCAAGAGCCTCCAAACAAGCTTTTGAGAAAAACCATTTGCAACAGGAGAAACTCATAGAACATTCACCTGCAGTGCCCACAGCTGGACCTTCATTAGACAGCTTCCCCACTGCTGACAGCCTGGCTGTGGCTGCCATGGGCCACACAGATAACCAAAGCAGGCAGAGAGGACATTCACCATGACACTTGTCCTCCACTTGTCTATATGGGGGCCACACTGCTTTACCCAAGAAGATGCCTTCTCTTAGTTCAAATCAGATGCACAGACCACTTGTCTAATAGCAGAGTGAGTGTACTCACCATGGAGCCTTCTCCATTCCATTTGTCACCCATCACAGGATCACACACTGCGGGGACACAACATCTGGTTAGCAACTGCCATATACTCCCATGACAGACCTCCACACTGTTTGACATTCCTTTTGTTTTTTTTTTTTTTTTTTTTTTTTTTTTTTTTTTTAGACAGGTGTCACTGTATAGCACAGGCTAACACTGGACTCACAATCTTCCTGCTTAGCCTACCATGTAGCTGAGAATGCAGGCATGCACACCACACTTGCCTCCATAGCTGACTCTTGTTCTAACTGACAGTGTGTGTGCCTGCGTGTATGTACATGTATCATGTGTGCAAGTGTCCAGGAGTTCAGAAAAGGGCATGGGATCCCTTGTAATGGGATTCACAGGCAGCTATGAGCCATCAGAGTGGGTGCTTGGAACTGAACTCAAGGCTTCTGCAAGAAGAGTACACACCCTTCACTGATGACAGCTTCTCAACTTGCCCTGGCTGGCTTTGAGCTCATGACTTTGGAGCCGGGATGACCCTGAGCTTCTGACCCTCTGATTATTGGGATCACAGGTGTCTACCTACATATTCCGTTTATGTGGTTGGACAGATCAGGCCCAGGGCTTCATGTATGCTAGGCAAGCACTCTACCAACTGAGCTACACCCATAGTCTCTCAATTTTTTTAACATCACATACATAACAATTGTGCACACCAGCACCTTGCACTTCTCTGTCCAAGACAACTAGGCCCTCCTCTGGATAATTTCACACATAATTTAACATCATTCATGCCTTGTCTCAAGAACACATTACCTCAATTGACCTGGACTGGCACAGTGCCCTCCCCCTCTTGCCTGGCCGAGAGAATACTAAACCCAGGTATCACAGTATCTTCCCAGGTTAAGCACATGTCCTTTGGACATAGTCCACTGCATGCACATGCATGAACAAAGCAATGTGCTATTGGCCTTCAGGGCAGGGCCCTGTGCATACCTGGGAAACTGCTACATAGGATCTAGCCTCAGTCTGCACGCCTAGTTAACACTGCCTCCACTCTCGCTAGCACATGGACCTAGTGTTGTCTGGCAACTATAGTGCCACTCTCCATGCAGACAAACTAGATAGGGTGTGCCCTCCCCCATCACCCATCCCCTAGTTTGGCCCTGCCTGGGGTATCAACACAACCTACATCTTCTTTAGAATCAGAACTCACATGTCTTGGGTACCCCAGGCCTTCATACATATTTAAACCTTCCTTTTTATGCACCCATGGGAAAAACTTCCCAACATTCCTACTGTGCCAGCCCACAGGCCTTCTTCTTAGGGGGTTAAATAACTGACCAATAAAGGCCAAGCAGAAAGTGAGATATGAGAAGACAGTTGTCTGAGCCATTCCTTCCCTGAGGATAAGAGCAGCAGGGACACAAAGTGGGGAAGGGGCATCACGGCCCAGCTCTCACCGTACACGAGCCGGGAGTTCTGCTGCTTCAGCTCCCGCACGATGTCCACCACCGTGGCCAGGAAGGACTTGTCTCTCGTGTAACCTTGGGAGGGAAATCCAGGTTTCTCTCTCAAAACAGGACACACTGACTGCCAGGGAATCTTCCATAACAAGAATCACCAAATCAAACATGCATGAGAGTGGGTGCAGGCCAGACCCTGCAGCCAGGGAATACACAAGGTCCCCAAAAGTCTGTAGTCACGGAGGGGAAGGCAGCAAGATCCCAGGTACATGAGTTTTGAGTGACAAGACTGCACAGATAATTGGCAAATTTCCCACTTTCAACAAAACATATCACTTTCAAAATTTAATTTTAAGTGTGTGTGCGTGAGTGCTTACAGGTCAGAAGATGGTGTCTAATCCCCTGGAGCTAGATTACAGGCAGTTATGAGCTACCATGTGTGAGCTGGGAACTGATCCTGGGTCCTCTGCAAGAGCGGTGATTTCTATTAACCACTGAGCCGTCTTTGCACCTCCTATATCTCTAATTTTTTTTTTTTTAATTCAGGGGCTAGAGAGGTGGTTCAGCAATTAAGAGCACTAGCCATTAGGCCAGAGGTCCTGAGTTCAACTCCCAGCACGCACGTGGTAGCTCACAACTGTCTATAACTGTAGTCCTTAGGGATCCAATGCCCCTTTTGGGTGTGCAGATGGGCATGCAGACAAAACACCTATATACATACAAACACACAAATACATGTCTATTTATTTATTTTTGGAGACAGGGCCTCATTGTGAAGCCTTAGCTGACCTAGGACTCACAATGTAGACTAGGCTTGGCCTACAAAGCGAGTTCAAGGATAGCCAGGCCTGTTACACAGAGAAATTCTGTTTCAAAACAAAACAAACAAACAAAAAACTAAATTGGGGGCCTGAGTGACAGCTGACTGAGTATGGATTCTTACTTTATGTCTGAAAACCTAAGTTCACTCTCTGGGATCCACAGTGGAAAGTCCTCTGTACACATGCTGTGATACCACATACCACATGGACGCATAGACACACAATAAATTAATAAGTAGACTCAATATGTAGAAAATACAACCAGAAAACATAACAGCTGAACTCATGTAGCATTTCACCATCAACCCAGGGTGGCAGAACTAACTGTAAGGGTCTCTAGAAAGGGTTGGTGCCCAGTACACACCATGACCATTCAGGAAGGAGTCAGACCAGGCCTGTGCTTGACCTGTCACCAGCAGACTGGGGACCCTGCACCAGGCCCCTGGGGAACCTCACCAGTGAGCACGTAGTCATACTTATTCACACTGTTCATCTTGAGACCTCCATACAGTTCATGCAGTTCCTGTGAATTCAGCACTTGGCCCTTCGAATGGGCATAGCCTGCAGGAAGAAAACAGGCTAAGCTGTGGGTGTGGGAGCCCCAGGTTTCCCTGGTGACCATCTCAGCTGATGACTGACAACCACCTACCCTCCATGAGGAGACCAGGTGAGCTGCTCTTCTGAAGGCTGCCCTTACTTTGGCCCTGACTGGATGCTCTGGGCCCAGGGCCTCAGTGGCATCCCAATACCCTGGAAACACCCCTGTTCCTACACTGTGGGAGCTGAACAGTGGTCTCCACCCTGCCATGACTAGATTCTGTCAAATCAATGCAGGGCAGCAGACACCCAGTGCCCTAGGTAACCCCGTGGAACTGTGTCCTGTAAGATGTGGATAAGGACATGTGTGCACACAGCTGTTTAATTCTGCACTCAATAGAAGCTGTTCAGGGAAGCCTACCACACCCCAGTGCAGGGCAGCGCCAGCCAAGCCCTGCCCCTTAGTTCAGCTTGGTTTCTGGTCTTTTCTATGTGTTTCTAGTGGTCAATGCCCACTTGCTAAGTTACTACCAGCTGACACTCCGGACAGGTAAAGGCTCACACTGTCCCCACCCACTCTCACTCTCTCCCATAAGCAAACTAAAACTCTGCCAACACAAGTCATGGTCAGATACTAGCAAAAAAAAAAAAAAAAACATGAATGAGAAACAGGTCTAGCCCAGACATACAACCTGCCCCTTTATCTGCTATGGTCAGGACCCCAGGCCTCTGGGACACCATCTGACATGTAGGACACCTGGGCACCCACTATGCCAAGTGAGGCCAATCACTGACATCCTGAATTTCACCAATGAATACTTTCTCGGTTTAGCATCTTGCGCCTTCCAGGTACATACACACAGCCACTTTAAGATACCCAGGTGTTTTCAGTGCCTATCAACCAAGCAATAGGTGGAACATAGAATGACATCTATCCTGCACAACAAAGTCCTCAGAAGTAAACTCAATCCCACTGTGCAGCATTCAACCCATCTCATTTAAACACAAATACATGCCATGCTGGCATCAGTAAGAGTCAATGGGGTCCACACAGTTCTCTGGAGGCCCTGGACCAGCTGGAACTTTAAATGCCAGAACACAGGTACTGAACAACTGTCAATAATGCTGATCCACTGTCAGCACCTATCTGAGGCTGCTAATAATTCTTCCTTCCCAGTTTAAAAACCATCACACTTGAGAAGTGTGTTAAAATTTCTAAGGTCTTGAATCCTGCTGGTGACCAGCTGGGCTACTCTGGAACAGTTTGAGATCCTGAAGTTCCCTTTGTGTTCGGAACAATGTCGGGACAGGCACTTGGAGGCATTTCAAACACCAGAATGGCTTTGTTCTCTTGCCAACACAGAAAATAGGAAGGACTCCACTCACCATGAACTACAGAGGCCACAGGTCATGTCAATGGGAGAACACATTTCTCCCAAACAATTCAAGGGACTTCCAAGGACAGTTGCCGCCAGCAATAAGCAGTGATGTCTTGGAATCTCCAGGAAAAGGCAGCTTACACGGGCCCTTCCCCGTGGTACTGGTGCTGAGCCTAGAACCACATGGAGCTCTCCTTTGCCCAAGGTGTTCCAGAGTGGAAACGCACACTAACATGCAGATCACCGGTTGTCAGCAGAAGGACACCGCAGCACTCCCTGTGGTTTACCTGTTCAGTCTCCCACAACGGAAGATGCTATGACTGTTAGCTTAACAGAGAAGGAAACTGAGGCATGGAGTTTTTCCCACCAGTGGGCTCCAGAACAGTGGTCACACACATCAGCCATGGTGTGGGGTAGGCCCTACACAGAGTGGTAGTTCTGGGTTCATCTCCTGACCACAGGATGTGGCAACTACTTCCCTCGGGACCAGATTACCTGCCATGCTCACACCCACCACGACTACAACCTTGTAGTCCTACCTGTGTGGTTGGAAAACTGCACGGAGTTCACTGCATCAACTTCAAACCCCAAAACCTGCAGGGCAGAGAGAAGAGGTGTGTGAGTGCCTGTCTGTGACCCCAAGAACCCAGAGCAGGGGTCCCACCCATGGCTAGAGTCTTGACTTGAGGAGGGTGACAGATGGGACCATCCAAGTGGTATAGAACAGGGCAGGACCTGCCCAACCAGTCAGAGGTTTGCATTTCAGGGCCACTTAGGAAACTTGCCCAAAGGGCCATGGTGGCAACACCCCTCTCCCCTGCTGCTGTGCACTGAAGGGTTCACGGAGCACCCCAGAGGGACCACCTGATGAAAGTGGCCAAAGAAAGCACTGTTAGCAGCTGTCTGTGCAGACAGTGAGCTCGGCCCTGTGGGCCTTCTAACCCACCCCTGAGGGGTGAGACCCAGACCCAGCTGGGCATCTCATCTCAGCCAGCATCTACCATACAGCTAGCAAGCTCTCCCTCCCTCCATGTGAAGAAGAGAAAGAAAGAAGGCTCCACAGCAGGGCTGAGGAGAACAGCCCCCCATCCCCAGAACAACCACATCCATCCATTGAGCAGCTTGCCACTCTGAATGGCCTCTCATAGCCCTGGAGGGAATCATCCAGACAGGAAAATGGGCCTCCTGAGACATGCTGGGCAGAGACTGAGACTCCGTGTGGGCAGCCATTCATCCTCAGCACACAAAGAGGCTCACTAAACCAAATTAAAGCTATGGGGTCTGTGAGCCAACTAAGAGCTGTCACTGAGTTTAAAAGCTCTTTATTTTAATGTAAGAGATACTGAGCTCAGAATTATGCAGTTGGTAAAGTGCTTGCTTATCTTGCAAGTTTGAGGACAGACTTGAGTTCAGTCCAGCATAAAAATGCCTAGTGTGATAGTGCTTGCCTGCACTTTCAGAGCTGGTCATGATTCTGGGGGTTCATGGGTCAGCCAGCCCAGCACGATTGTTAAATTTCAGGTCAGTTAGACACCATGTGATATGTTGGGTTTCCCTTTCAGTCCAGTGTCCAGCTCAAAGCAGGGCTTCCTGGCCTGCTGATGTGTGAGGCTGGGGGCAGCATTTCACAGGAGAATTGGACCCTAGTGTGGTAGCACACGCCTTTAATCCCAGCAATTACAGACAGAGCCAGGTGGATCTCTGTGAATTCAAGGCCAGCCTGGTCTACAGAGGGAGTTCCAGGACAGCCAGGGCTACACAGAGAAACCCTGTCTCTGGGGATGAGCATGGGAGGAGGAGGAGTTTGGGGCACAGCTCAGTGGAAGAGCACTTGTTAAACAAGCACAAGGCCCTGGGTTGGGTACTCAGCACCACAGAAAGCAAGAAGGGAAGGCAAGCTGCTGCCTAGTAAGTGAGGAATAGGCAACAAGGCACACTGGACTTCACCCTGCCCTTCCCTCTCACCCTACAGTCTAGAGCCCAAACAGCAGAAGCCCCGCTTCACAGGCCCTCCCCTGCTGCAGAGGTGAGTGAAAAAGCGGTGAGGGAGGGGCAGGGAGACAGGACCCTGACCCCCCACTTTCCCTTTACCCTCTTTCTGCTCTGCAAGCCTTGAAGGGTTCCACCTGGTTCCCCACCTCCCATGAAACCTTTGACCTGGGGCCAGAGACACAATCTGAAAATGGGGAGGGTTCTGCTGCCTCTTTCTATGACTATTTTCTCGGCTGCCTGTGGGAGACTGGGAAGGCAGGAGCTCAGAAGACATTGCAGACAGTGCCGGGGAGGCAGAGCTGAGGGTCCAGGTGTGTGGGTCTGTCTGTGCCCCATGGTTAGAGGGATCTCCACAGCCGCGGCCACAAGTCAGGCCCAGAAACTTCCCTAGCCATACTCTGACATGGCTGGACAGACACCTGGAAAAGGCCCAAGAGGCCTCCCCAGCCTCCTACCTGCGACCTTCTTAGAGCAGCTCTGGGACAAATCTTGGGACCCCAGCCCAAGACTCCATTCTCCCCCTTGCTAGCTTTTCTTCCCATAGTCAGCAATGGGAATGAGACTTTATACTCTAGACTATACACACCCCACCTCCACAGAGAGAGAGAGAGAACAGCTCTGGACCCGAGGGCTGTTCCGCTTGGAACAGCTGCTCAGACTATAGTGCTGGCCCCAGGCCACCACAAACTCTGATGGTGCCAGCCCAGCCCCACATGTGCTCACTAAGGCTCTCCATGTTGGAGGTGTCCTCCCTACCCTTCCCATTGCTGTTCCCTGTCCAGGGCTGCAGAGCTATGTATGGTTGAGCAGCAAAATGCCAACAGGGACCCTAAAAGAGTCCCCAGGTCCTTCGGCTCCTCTCTGGAGGGAAGAAGCTAAGAAGAGCCTCCTCCTTTGAGCAGGTGGGGCACCATGTCTTCAGCTGAATTAAGAAGCTGAGCCCTTGGTGCAGTCTAGAGGACAGAGGGCCAGGGCAGCCAGGGACTCAGTGAAGGCAGAGGCTCAGCAAGGGCAAGAGGAAGAGATGCAGGACACAGGGCCTCAGAGCCCTGCACACCTCTGCCCAAGGTGAGGGGGCTGCTCAGAGCTCAACCTGACTCCATCCTCCCTGGCTGTCCCTGCCTCAGGGACTCTACCCCCTTTCCTAAGAACAGTCTCACCTCAGTCACCTTGCTACCCTCCTCTGCCCCAAAAGCTAGAGAACAACGGGTAAGAGCATAAAGCGCCAGACCAGTGCATCTGGGTAGAACAAGAATAGGAGTTGGGGGTGGGTAGAGAATTGCTTATCAACCAATAGGAGCTCAAGTCTCAGCAACCGCCCTGTGCTTGTGAACTTGAACCCCTGTACTGTACACCCATAACCATTTGCCCTATTTTGTCTGCCAAACATGACTGTCTCAGGACAGCCCTCGGGTTGAGCTCAGGTAGTGCTCTGGGCCACCTGTCTTCCTTCCAGATCCTCCCTGCAGGTCCGTGGTAGTGAGTGAGGTGCTCCTTCCTAATGTCCCCCAAGGGTCAGGATAGTGGCTGGGCTTGAGCTGAAGGGCTACAGGAACCTACCACCTTGCTTATTGTCCAACCAAAGAGGTACAGTGAAGGACCTGGCTGGCCAGGTCAGGTCGATCTTCCTGCTGGACCAGCCAGGCAAGGACGTGCCAATCACTCTACAGTGCCTCCAGGCTCCATTCTAATACCCACTGCACCCTGGTTTTCTCCTAGGGCCACCAGGTCACAAGTAGGAAACACCATGGGTCAGAAATGATCACAGACAGCCTTGTGGGAAGAGGCTCTGGGAAGATGACAAGGCTACAGCCCTTCTAACAGGTTGCTTCCAAAGCGAAACTCAGCAAACTGTGCTGTCTTTTAAGACAGGGGCAGGCCTATCTTAAGTGAGGCTGTTCCAGTCCCATCACAGCAAATGTCAGAGCACCCTGGAGTGATCAGACTCAAAGTGGAGCTCAGCGTCCAGGGACTGCACCTTCCTCTGAATATCTCAGCTTCTTTGGTCCAGTATCACATGGTGAGTAGAAACAGATCCTGGATTTCAACAGGGAATGAGCAATCACCTGCCAGTGTGTCTACTATCATGAGGATGCCAGCACTATGGCCCCAAGCAGAGTCTTTCCAGCTCAATATTTCATTCATTCCGGGAGCCCCCACCCATGGCTGTCCAAACAGCAGGAAGAAAAACCAGGAGATGCAACAGGCAAGAGGTGCTTATTGAACGAGTGCACTCTGGTGACAGCAATCTCGAGGAAAGCTGCACACCCCCCAAATGGTTCAGGCTCTCTTTTTATAGAGACCACAATCAGCATACATGCATGTGGCACAAGGTGATTGATTACAAAGTATGATCTCATGTTTGAGTGATCACCCAGGTATGACCTGTTCTTATTCAAAGGATAAACCATAGAATGACTTGGAAAGTCCCCAGACTGTCCGTTGGCCAGGTGTGAACCAAACAGGGCTGTTCATCTGTAATCATTTGTTCCAGGGCTGGGGGCCTATATCCTTGTTGTGGGCCAAGACCTGTGAGAAACTTTTTTCATACTCTGATTTTTCTCTTGGCTGTACATTTAGAGCCTTCAGTTATTCCACAAAGGTTTGATGATTCAGTAAGTAGCCCTATTTAACAGGATCAGCCTAGCATGACCACTAGCCCCATCACCACAGTAACCTTTCTTGTTCTCATAAATTTCTGTCTTTTCCTCCCATGTCAATGTCCATTTTTTATGATTTTCTATATCCTGCTTGCAAGAATTATTCTTCTGCCCCTTTCCTACATCCTTGCTCTGCAAACTAAAATCTTTCTATTTATGTAAGCAGAGTAGCAAGTACCTGCAGCGGGAATATGGCTGCCCGGTTGCCCACGTAGCGGTGAACTACAGGGCTCTGGATGGAAAGCACCCCGCACTCACCCTCCATGCTGGGATGGCCATAGTGTTAGCCCTCCCACCCCTGACCCTGGCTGACCAGACCTCTTGCAAATGGTTCAGCTTTCTGGTCCCTCTGGCATGCATCCAGTCCAGAGGTGGGCTGTGTCAAGGGCCGGCCACGCCCCTCTGGATAACTCACCTGCAGAACTGACCCTGATGGGATCCTCTGTGCTGCATGCCCTCCAAGGGCTCCCAGGCTCTCTGCAGACCCGGGTCAGCACTGGGATACACTCCCCATCCATTCATTCATTCATTCCTCATGGCACCCTCCTGAGTGACACTACTAGGAGCTGCTGTTCCAAGGAGCTCCCGCCGAACTCTGGCCTATAAGAACCTTACATGGGAATGGATGGTGGGGGTGGGGGACATGGGAGGGAGAGGGGACTGGGACTGTTATGTATAATAATAAAGAGAAAACAAAAAGACCCTTAGAGAGTAGAAGGACCCCTCCAGTCACAAGGCCTGCATGGGAGGCAGAACCCAGTCAGCTGTGAGCCCGGCTGTCTGATCTGTCTGAGCCATGTGTCCCTTCTCAATCTCCCAGCTATCTCCAGGCTCAAGTCCACCTTCTCAGAGTCACTCAGGGGACAGACTTGCTGCTGCACTGACTCTCCTCTTTTCAGCACCCACACAGTAATTCCAGTCTCTCCCGTGTTCCATCTCCTGACCCTGCCCTTTGGAGCGCCTGTGGTCACAGAGTCCAGGTTCACAGATTGGTGGCAGAGGCCAGCATTGTCAAGTGTGCAGTGTCTTGGTGAGAGTCCAGGGGCACCAGCTCTGAGAAAGGAGAAAGGACTCCCATTGCTTAGGGAACAGATCAGAAAGAGGAAGAGAGGATTGAGACTCAGTTGGTGGAGTGAGTACCAAGGCCCTAGCTTTAACCCCAGCACCAGAAAAAGTGAACAGAAAGAGGAAACACATTGTAAGGAATGCTTGATTGGATTAATTAAATGGAGTACATTAATTAAATTAATTAAATGGAATAATTAATTGCTTGCTGACAATAGCTTTAACTGCACACTTGGTATGCACTTAACATATTTCATGTAACACAATGAATCTTACCTAGAGCAATGATGCACACCTATAATACCAGCATTTTGGAAGAAATGGCAAGAGAATTAGAAGTTTAAGGTCATCCTCGGATACATAGCAAACCAGGGGTCAATCTGGGCTACAAGAGACAAGAGACACAGACACAGTAATGTAAGAGTATGGTTTTTCCACCTGCCGCCACTGGTCTTGTCCCGCCACCGCACCAGCCCCAAATAACACACTGAGACTCTGTATTATATATAATTCTGTTGGCCAGGTACTTGTTTCTTATCGGCTAGCTCTGCCTTAAGTATTAACCCATTTCTGCTGATCTATGTATTTCTCTTACCGGGGAGCCGGCCAGCATACTGCTTTCTCCCGACTCTCCATCTTGGCTCCTCCTTACTACTTCCTTTTTCCTCCTTGACTCCTAGTCCCGCCTATCTTGCTTTCCTATTGGCCAACAGTGCTTTATTCATAAACCAGTATGAGAAACATATACAGAATGACATCTCCCATCATCTCCTCTTTTCTGTCTAAAATAAAAAGAAGGGTTTTAACCTTAGCATAGCAAAATATATTATACAACAGTTATCAAATAAGAATCACAGTTAACAATATTTAGTCCATTAACATTTAGCAAGACTAAAAGAAACTATTCTATCATCTATCCTATATCTATCCTATATTTGTGAATCTAAAGTCCTATATGTAACTTATCTTTAAACCTAACTAATGAAAACTATAACCATAACTATTTGTCTTCAACTCCATTAAAGACCACAGAAGGATAGTATATAAACTCTAGAAATGACAGAGACAACTCACTGCCTGGTCACCCGAAGTTCTTTTGTAATCTTCCATCTTCAGCCCATAGGCCATAGTGTGTTTCGCAGACTCTTTAGCAAAGCAGGAAACTTTAAACTGTCTTCTTGTATTGGCAGTTTGTCAGTCACTTTCCTCTGTGTCCTGCAGACTGTCTGGCAGACTCTTCCATGAAGCAGGATCTCTGTAGCAATGTCCATCTTCAATCAGCAGTCACTTTTCGGTGGGTCCTGCATGTCCAGTTTATACAGCATAAAGTCAAACAGTCCAGACAAGAGCAGTATCTTGTCCAAATGGCTAGTCTTGCCATATTGGAAGCAAACTCTGTAACGAGTTTCTTCAATGTCCATCTTCATCTTCCTTTCTGACTCAGGTGGTGTTGCCAGGAGCAATTGTGCCTCATTGTCATGAAAAACCCTAAACCATTTTAAATGCCATATTCTGTAGGTCTTTGAAAGGTTTGAAGAATTCCTATCTATCTCAAATACATCTCTGCATATCTAGAAAACCTAACACTATAAGTTTTGACTATTAATGGTAACTATCGATAATCTGTACTAAATTATACATTACATTTCTAAATAAGCTATATAAACACAATACCTAAACAAAAGGAGAAATATACACATCATAAGATTGACCTTAAATTGTACCAATAAATGAAAATCCATTCCAAAACAAAGTAATCATATCTATACCATAATCCCCTTTTTACCTTTAAAAAGAGATTGGCTATGATCATTAACCATTTATAACCAAGCCCATTTAAATGAAAACAAACATTTATAAACAATATTTGGGAATTTGGGTGTCATTCTTTTCAAACTACTTCCTGCTGGTAAAGGGCGCTGTCATGGGGGAATCCTAAGAAGTTTCAGTACTTGGGAGGCAGAGGCATTCCAGGCTGTAGAGAGCCCATTGGCTGGATAACTTTATTGATGGCTCTCAGGTCTGTAAGCATTCTCCATTTACCAAATTTCTTTTTGATCACAAATACAGGAGAATTCCAAGGGCTGGTTGATTCCTCAATATGTCCAGCATTTAGCTGTTCCTGAACCAGGCTTTCTAAAGCTTCTAACTTCTCAGAGGTCATAGGCCATTGTCCTACCCAGACAGGTTCCTCTGTTAGCCATTTTAAAGGTAGGGCTTTTGGTTCCTCTGTTTGTTCAGCACTTGTATTCTGTTTTTGTACCGCCTGGATATTTGGTATCTGTCTTGTATACTTAATAATATTTTTTCCACAATCATGAGGTCATTTATGGTTCCTATCTAATACTGGAGGAATGTTAATCTGTGTATTCCATTGCTGTAATAGATCACGACCCCATAAATTTATCATTACATCAGCCACATATGGTCTCAACCTTCCTCTCTGTCCTTCTGGTCCTATACATTCAATCCATCTTGTGCTTTGTTTTACCTGAGACAGGGTTCCAATCCCTAAGAATTGAACATTTACCTCATGCAGGGGCCATCTTCGAGGCCAAGATTTATTAGATATGATAGTTACATCCGCCCCTGTGTCCAGGAGACCGTCAAACAGTCTATTATTCATCTTAACTATCAATCTAGGCCTATGACTATTTATAGCTGTTTGCCAAAATATACGTTTTTTATTTCCTTCTATCATGTTTGATTCAACTTCTGTCACTAGTTTGTCATCCAGAGCAGTACGAGTTTTTATAATAGGCACAGAATTTTCTAATTGTCCTGTGGGAGACTGTCTTCCACTGTCACTGTGAATGCCATGAGGGGTGGCTGGAGCCTTTGCTGCAGAGGATCCATGAGAAGGAGTCAGCAGTGGTGTGCCCCGTTATTGATGTGATTGACTGGAACACCTTCGAGTACCTGGGCAACTCCGGGGAGCCCCAGATTGGAGGTTTTGACTGGCGGCTGATATTCACGTGGCACGTGGTTCCCCAACGAGAGCAGGAATTGATGTGGTCCCCTATCGATGTCATCAGGTCTCCAACAATGGCTGGAGGGCTGTTTGCTGTGAGTAAGAGATATTTTGAATATCTGGGGCCTTATGATATAGGAATGGAAGTCTGGGGAGGAGAAAACCTTTAGGATCTGGCAGTGTGGTGGCACTCTGGAAACACATCCCTGCTCTCACGTAGGCCATGTTTTCCCTAAGCAAGCTCCCTATTCGCGCAGCAAGGCCCTGGCCAATAGTGTCCGAGCTGCGAAAGTGTGGATGGATGAATTTAAAGAACTCTACTACCACCGCAATCCCCGGGCCCGCCTGGAACCTTTTGGGGATGTGACAGACAGGAAGAAGCTTCGGGCCAAGCTCCAGTATAAAAACTTCTGGTGGTTCCTGGAGACAGTGTACCCAGAACTGCATGTGCCGGAGGACAGGCCTGGCTTCTTCGGAATGCTCCAGAACAAAGGACTCAGAGGGTACTGCCTTGACTATAACCCTCCTAATAAAAACCAAGTTGATGGCCACCAGGTCCTTTTGTACCTCTGTCATGGGATGGGGCAGCACCAGTTTTTCGAGTATATATCCCAGCCTGAGGCCTGCTTAGCTGTGGAGGAAAAGAAGGATGTCCTTGTCATGCATCTCTGCAGTGACACCATCCCAGAGAATCAGGAGTTCATCCTACACGAGGACGGCACTTTAGTTCACAAGCAGACCAGGAAATGTGTCAAAGCCACAAAGAAGGAGTTGGGAATTTGGGCGTCGTTCTTTTCAAACCACTTCCTGCTGGTAAAGGGCGCTGTCATGGGGGAATCCTAAGAAGACGCAGAAATCCTGGTTGTAGTCTGCGAGGCTGCTTTGTCCAAGCTGTTTTGAATGTTGAATCACCAGCAACTCTGTTTTAGGGGGTCTGGCTTGATCAAACCACATTAGTCTGGAAGGAATCCACAGCTTTTCATTTTCTGTGGAAACAAAAATAGAAATCCTTTTCCCCAGTAACTTGTCCTTGAACTTAAATTTTTGAGTTAAAGCATTTTTAAAATATATAAATTGAATTAATCCAGCAGCATTTCCTTCAACAGTTGTTGTTTCCTCAGCAGTCAAACAATACAAAAACAATATAATACCATACCAGATTCTCTCTGAGCTTTTCATCTTTACGTGGCTTTATTATTACTCCGTTTCTTTTACTTTTTATTTTTTATTTTTTGAGACAGGGTTTCTCTGTCCTGGAATTCACTCTGCATACCAGGTTTACTTTGAAATCACAGAAATCTGCTTGCCTCTGTCTCCCCAATGCTGGGATTAAAGGCGTGTGCCACCACACCCAGCTCCTCTCTGTCTTTTTAAAACCATTTTTTTTCTCCCAAGCCTATGTATTTTTTAAAACACACTGTAAACTTTTAGCACTTTTTCTTAATGTGAATCTGTCTGTACTGTAAATCTTTTTATAGCCACGAGTCTTTTATCAGGTAAACAACAACATTGCTAAAATGAAAGTCTTTATTGTTTCTGCCACGGTTTACAAAAGATGGCAGCGGCTATTTTACCGCCAGCAGTGAAAGCTGTGCTCACTGCCTTGGTCTGCATGCTGCCGGCTTGGAGATGTAGTCACTGCTATTGCCAGCTCTGATACACACTAATAAATTGTTAGCAGTGCTTCTTAAAAGCCGTGCGGGTCCCCCCCTCCTTTTTTATGCTGAGTCAGGAACCTTCCCTTAAAGGAGCCGTGCAATCTGCTTGTTTCTCGCAAAGCAGAGTCCAACCAAGAAAAATGCTGCTATCAAGAAACCTTGTTTGTGTTTGTTCTTTTGTTTGTAAAACCCTTTTTTAAGCTTTTGTTAACTTTTAAGTGGAAGTTCTTATTAGCCACGTGGGCGCCATCTGTAATGAGTATGGTTATTCCTCCCGCCGCCAGTCTTGTCCCGCCGCCGCCACGCCAGCCCCAGTTAACACACTGAGACTCTGTATTTGATATAATTTTGTTGGCCAGGTACTTGTTTCTTATCGGCTAGCTCTGCCTTAAGTATTAACCCATTTCTGCTGATCTATGTATTTCTCTTACCGGGGAGCCGGCCAGCATACTGCTTTCTCCCGACTCTCCATCTTGGCTCCTCCTTACTACTTCCTTTTTCCTCCTTGACTCCTAGTCCCGCCTATCTTGCTTTCCTATTGGCCAACAGTGCTTTATTCATAAACCAGTATGAGAAACATACACAGAATGACATCTCCCATCACAGTAAAGTCATTTCATGACCATGTGTCTGTGGTCACCAATGACCAGTACTACTTGGAAGATAAAGAGGTCAGAGGTTACAAATCATTGACAAGGATTACTGAATGAAAAACATCCATGGTGTCCGCAGCACCAACCATTGCCCAGTTGCTCCTTTCTCGTCCTGCCTTTGAGGTTGTCCCCTGGGCTCTTTCCGGTCTAAGGAATCCTCCCTGCAAATGACCTCATCCCTCAGTACCTCGGTCTGCCACTTGTGCCCTTACTTTTTCTTGGGCAAACTTCAGAAGCAGCCTCCTTCTCCAACAGCCTTTACCCCTTTACTCCAGACAAACCAAAAGTGTAAGGAGAAAAAAGCAGTGAGGACTGGAAAGGAGTGATCCAACCACCAGGCCTGTAAACTCCAGGATACTCCTAACAGAAGACTCAGGTTCCCACAAGTGCAAACCCTATAGTAAACACAGCTAGACTAGGTAGGGGTTGGGGACACTTTGCTCTCAGTTTCTTGGCTCCTGAGGGATCAGATCTTTATTTCCTGTTGTAGGACAGATGCCCAGTGTCCAGGGATTTCAGCTGGGCCATACCTAAGGAGCCTGTGATGGTTTGAATGGCACAGTTCCCATAGTTGTGTATATTCAAATATGTGGCTCCCTGTTGGTGAACTGTTTGGGAAGGACCAGTAAGTGTGGCCCTGTTGGGGGAGGTGCACCTTTGAAGGTGGGCTTTGAGGTTTCAAAAATCCACATGATTTTCTAGTGTTTCTCTGCCTTCTACCCTGGGATGATGTCTTTGTTAGGTTTCATTGCTATGAAGAGACACCATAAGCAATCCTGGCATGATAAAGGCAGGAGTGTGTCCTGGGCATGGCATCCTCACTGACAGGGACAGAATGAGACAGGAGGAAATCTCTGGGTGGCACCCACATGCCTGTTCCCTGGATGGATGGATTCCAGGAGTGGGATGAGGGGGTTCTCAGTCAAGGAGGGCTTGCACTTTAGAGCTAAAACTGCGCGTGCTTTTGAGGTCAGAGGACAGTCTGGGGGAACTGATTCTCTCCTTCTCCCAAGTAGGTTCTGGGGATTGAACTCAAGTCTTAGCTGCAAGTGCTTTTACCCACTGAGCCACCTTCCTGGCCTTGTTTTGTGATCTCCCTATGTAGTCAGTGCTGGTCTTCAATTAATGATTCTCCTGCCTCAGCTTCATGAGTGCTGGGGTTGTAGGTGTTTGTTAGCATGATCAACAAAGTCATGTTATTACAGGGACTCACTACGTATCCCTGGCTGCCTTGGAACTTACTAGGCTGCCCTCAGAGTCACAGAGATTTACCAGCCTGCCTTTGCCTCCTAAGTACTGGGATTAAAGATGTGTATACCTGGCAAATACATAATTTTCTAATAATGGTCTTTTAACCACATGTAAGTCATGAGCTCTCAGCCAAATAACAATTTCTGTTCACATACTGGCTCTGTAGGCACCTTGATCTTCGATATCCAGTCTTAAAGCATGGTGAGAATGAAAGCCATTAAAAACCACCACTCTGTTCACAGTTATGCTTTTTTCTTTTCTTTTTTTTTTTTTTTTTTAGGTTAAGTCTTAGAGGCTTAGTTAGGATGATGAAACACCATGACAAAAAAGTAAGTTGGGGAGGAAAGGGTTTATTCTGCTTACATTTCCACATCACAGTTCATCACTAAAGGAAAAGTCAGGACAGGAACTCACACAGGGCAGGAGCCTGCAGGCAGAGGCAATTGAGGGGTGCAGCTTACTGATTTGCTCCACATGGCTTGCTCAACCTGTGTTCTTACAGAGCCCAGAACTATCTGCCCACAGATGGCACCACCCACCTTGGGGTAGGTGGGCCCTTCCTCATTGGTCACTAATTGAGAAAACACCTTATAGCTGGATCTCAAGGAGATCCTTTGCTGAGGCTCCTTCCTCTCTGCTGACTCTAGCTTGTATTAAATTGACACACAAAACCAGCCTGTACAGGTTATTCAAGAAAGGGTTTCTCACCAGGTGGTGTATCGCGGTTAAATAAGGATCAGGATAAACAAATAGGCCGAATAGATGTTTATTCAGGGAGAAATAACTTACAACCTAGACAGATGAACACCAGGAAATTCAACCTGATGCTCTCCTGTCCGAGTCACACCAGCAAGAGAGCTTTTTCCGGCTCTCTCTCCGACCTCTTTCCACAGGTCACTTCCGCCCATGGTTCCACCCCCTAATGGGCGTGGTCAGTGCCACAGAAGGACTATCTCACTACAATTCCCCTTTTAGTCTAAAGAAAAGGCTTAATACAAAACTATATACAAAACAGTAAATAACAAGTGTGCTCTAAGAAAAGGAAAATTGAGAACAAAATGACCTACATATCCAGTCCTAGGGTGAAGGCATAATGGAGTTTACAATAGAGTTGTCCTAAGCTGGAAAACGTAAGTCTAGTACCTAAAATATCTAACTAGGAAGAGAGAATAATAGTTGTGATAGTTTAATCTTCAACCTCATCAAGACCTGAGAAGGAAAATAACAATACTAGAGTAGACAGGAAGTGCGGATGGACAACTTCCAAAAGGTGCAGCAAGGACAGAAACAGTACGCCACCTGGACAGTCACTCAAGGTCTCACAGCAACATTGGTACACCCAGTTTTGGCTAAGGCCAAGAGAACTTGACAGACCACAACAACAGCAGGGAGGTAGAATGGCTGTCTTACCCTGACTTGGCAAGGTCAAGCAGTCTTTTATATTTATCTCCTGCAAGCACATAGGACTGCATGTCCAAATCAGTGGTCAAGGTGGGGGCAATTCTTTGCCCAACAGGCCATAGCTGAGGCGAGAATGGACTCCAGCAGGAGCAACAACAGTGTCCAACATATTTTCGGGAAAGTGCACGGTGCTGTCAGGAGCAACAGTGTCTCATGTCAATGGAGTACTAATATTAAAACATTTAAATGCCATGTTCTGCATGTCTATGAAGTGATTGAAGATTAAGCATCTATATCTGACTAATCTCATAGGTACAGAAAAGATAATCTGTAATACTCAGGAACTTAGCTAAAAGACTGATTAAAACTTCCCTGAGTAAAGCAGGAACAAATACTTAAACAATATAACTATATACATATACATACATGTAAATCCCTAAAATAGAGGTAGAGTATAAATGTCAAGACAAGAGGTAGAACTATAAAGGGCAGCAAGATAAATATCCCAAATTGTATCAATATACAAAATGTCTTGAATACAAGAAAAGTATACATATATAGAATATGGTAAAAAATAATGTGCATAAAACATCGTAAGTGGAAAGATTTAACACAATATAACAAAATATAAACTTAATTTTACAGTGGTGGTGGCCCACACCTTTAATCCCAGCTCTTGGGAGGCAGAGGCAGGTGGATCACTGTGAGTTCAAAGCCAGCTTTGTCTACAGAGCCAGTGGGAGAAAGCCAACTGACTGGTGGGTGTCTGGGAAGCTGGCAGAGAGATTGTATTTGAACAGGGAGGTAAGAGGTGGCAAGGCTCGAGAGGGTAGGGCAGCACTGAGCCAAGGAATTTCAACATAGCCCAGCTTGTTGATAGAAAGCAATCACTGAAAACACTTCTGTGGGGGCTAAAAAGATGGCACAGAGGTTAAGAACACTGTCTATTCTTCCAGAGGACCCAGGTTCAACTCCCAGCACCCACATGGTGGCTCACAACAATCTATATTGAGATCTGGTACCCTCTTCTGGCATGCAGGCAGAACAGTATGTACATACATAATAAACAAACTTTTTAAAAGGTGGTGGTGGCACACACCTTTAATCCCAGCACTCAGGGGGCAGAGGCAGGCAGAGCTCTGAGTTCTAGGCCAGCCTAATCTATAAAGCTACACAGAGAAACTCTGGCTTGGAAAAAAAAAATCAGAATCTTGCCCCATTCCAGGCCCAGCACATAATAATTTGAATAAAGTCAGCATATGCAAGTGCCTTAGGGAGCAAATTGCATGTGGGGAAGACAGGTAAGTGACATACAGTGTTTCCAAAGTTACCATGGCCACTTTACTGCTGTGCAATCAATACTGCCCACCCTCTGGAAAGTACAGCTTAAGCAGGGCTGCCATCTGGTTACTTCCAGTTGAATACCTCTTCAACTTTTGTTCCTAAGACCCTAGGCTGAGAAACAACAAAAGGATTTAAAGAACCATTAGTCACCAGTCGATGAGTAACTCCAGGAAGAACTGAAGCAATTTTTAGCCTGGGATCAGAAAGGCAGGGAGACCTAGGAACAAAAGGCATGTTCTGAGCCCGGGAGGAACGCCAGCGCTATGTCCATCAAAAGCAGGTGGCCCAGCACCTGCTTCACCCTCCCTCCTGCAGAAGTCAGGGACCCAGCATGATGGGCTTCCCCAAGGGAAACTTGTCCCTGTGGAGAGGTGTGTAGAGCTGACTTCTGGGGCACTAGATAGACTAAGGAAGGCCAACTTTCTGACCTCAGTCTGGCTCCAGGACCTTGGCTATCCTTCCCACTTCTGCTTGCATTCAAATCTGCTGTCCAGATTACATCAATCTATGACTGATAAATCGATCAGTCTACACCACTACCCCGGGTTGCTCATTTACAAAATGTAAATCAAGTCAAGTGGTTCATGCCTGTATTCCCAGGACTTGGGAAGATGAGGCAGGAGGATCGCCACAGTTGGAAGTCAATTTTGGCAACATAGCAAGTATCTAGCTAACCAGAGCTGTACAGTGAGATCCTGTTAACAAAAGAAAAGAATGTGGTGGGACACACCTTTAATCTCAGCACTCAGGAGGCAGAGGCAGGCAGATGGCTGTGAGTTCAGGTCAGGCTTGGTCTATAGAGCTAGTTCTACAGGACAGCCAAGACTACATGGTCAGACTCTGCTTTAGAAATGAAAGAAAAAGCTGTGAGGTGATGGTGCATTCCTTTAATCCCAGCACTTGGGAGGCAGAGGCAGGCAGATCTCTGTGATTCAAGGCCAGTCTGGTCTACAAAGTGAGTTCCAGAATAGGCTCCAAAGCCACACAGAGAAGACCCTGTCTCAAAAAAAAGAAGAAGAAAAGTAAGGAAGGAAAAAGGGAAGGAATGGGAAAAGGAAAGGACCCACCAGAAAGCTGGAAGGCCAGAAGTGGCAAAGGCTGGATGGAGTCAGTGCCTTCCTTCATCCTGGTGTGCCTCTGCCCCTCGGATCCTGAAAGTGAAAGTCTTTCCTGTGTTTCTTGGTGACTGTCACTGTGTGTGTTTGCCACAGGAGAGCGCTGTGGGGCCTGTCTGTACTCACCTTCTTCAGGAGGGAATGCAGCTGCCACAGGTCACCATGGCCAACAGCTTGGTGGGACTGGGTGATCTCCTGCCTCAGAGGTGCCCTGCCCAGTCCCAAGGATGTCTGGTAGATGCAGGAGATCATGCATAGGTTCTGCCCACTGCCAAGCATGTCTAGTAGATACAGGAGATCATAGCACAAGTTCTGGCAACTTTTGCTGGCTCAGAAGTGTCAAACCCAGTTACTTTTCTTCCTCCATCTTTGAGATTGTTTTTCTTCATTTTGTTTATGGAGACAAGAGATCCCGAGGCAGCCTGGGCTGGCCTGAACTTGAGATCCTCCAGCCTTAGCCTCCCTGGTGCTGAGACCACAGACTCAGCTACATTGTGCTTTTAAACAAAACTTTGGCTTGGCTCGGGTTCATTTAAGGAGACAAGGTATTCAGTTGGGGAGTCAGTAAAAATTCCCTCTAAGGCTCTGTTCATCAGCTTTGCAAACCAGTGTCATGGCTGCAATCTTGAGATATCCTGATCTCTGAAGCCCTAGCTAGACCCCCAGATGCAGAGAGAGAGAGAAGTCAGCTGCTAGACTTTCTTTGATAAGCTGAAGGACCTGGGTGGGAATGATGCTTCCTTGGGATGTACTGTGTCCCCACAGTGCCTGGCTCAGTGCCCTGACTAGGAGAGGATAGGCTCCTTGGTGTGTTCCTGCAGGACATGCTAGCCTGTGTTACTGAGAGCCAGAGCCACTGTGAACTGTCTGGGCTGCCTCTCTAACTCCCTGGAGTCACATCCTGATGCTGGCAGTGTGTGTGTTCGTGTGTTGAGAGGCAGGAAGTTTCTCTAACCTACAGTTGAAAGTAAAGGCCTTTTCTAGGCTAACTTCCTGAGAAAGCTGGGAGGCCAAGGCTGGAGCCACCATGGTAACCAGCCCATTGGCAAGGCACTTGCCACAGAAAGATCATAACCCTGCTGGACCCTTCCCAGGGCTGTCAGAGTCCACCCAATGGACTATAAAGTCAGACTCAACAAAATGTTATGTCTAGGTGTTTGGCCCATGACTATCATTGCCCAACTTTGGAGGCTGATGCAGGGATGTGAGTTTGAAGCCTTTCTGAATTATATGGGGAGATGCTTCCAAAACCAACCCAACCCACTAGGTAATGTCCTAAGGCAAAACAAGGGGTGGGACAGGTATTACTTCCTGGCTAAAGAGAAGCTGTTTTGGAGCTGAGAGGATACACTATTTGGTCTGTGGTCTCCAGGAGTCATACTGCAGTACACTCTAGAGAAGGCTCAACACATGGTGACAAAGGGCTGAGGCTGCTCCATGCTGCATGAACAGAAAGGGAAAAGAAACATGGTGAGGGGCACTTGCTGGGAGGGCTCTGAGCCAGGGAGTTTCTGTTCACAGTTGATTCCCAGATCCTCAAGTGATCCCCAGAGGAGACAGCCTGTGAAGGGAAACCAAGCAGGGCTCAGCTCTGAGCTCCACATTGGCCTATCTGTTCCTGAAGACCAAAATCGCAGCTGCATAGACATGTTCCCACAGTTCCTTGGGCTGTGGACACAAAGACATATGAGCTCAGAGCTAACAGTGACAATGGTGACCATTCAAGAGCTGTCCTTGAGTCAACCCCGACCCCCATCCCCCTCCAGGGTTTTTCTGTATTGCTTCAGACCCTGTCCTGGAACTAGCTCTGTAGACCAGGATGGCCTCAAACTCAGAGAGAGCCACCTGCTTCTGCCTCCCCAGGGCTGGGATTAAAGGCTTGGGCCACCAACACCCGGCTGTCCTTCAGTTGTTTTTGCTAACCCTCCCTTAGCCCAGCATGGTAAACAAAAAGACACATCAAAATCGTTCAGATGTTAAGGGTTAAAAATCTTATTATCTGGGACATGTGGTTACTTCAAGGTTTAAAAATCTTATAATCATGTGGTTGATTCTATAGGCAAAAAAACTTGCCACAAAACCAAGTCATTGATTAGATACTTGGAGCCCACAGGTAGAAGAAAAGAACCAAGTTTGCACATAGTCTTCGAATATCCACGTGCACACCATAGAGTGTGTGCACCCCCCACACACACCCTTTCCACATACACACACACCCTCTCTCCACACACACCACCTCTCCACACACACATACCAAGTAAATTAAAAAAATGTAAATTTAAAAAACATTGCCAGGCAAGATGGCACACTCCTTTGATCCTAGTACTCCTGTGGCAGAGACAGGTAGATAGATCAACGTGATTTTGAGACCAAACTGGCCTACACAGCAAGTTCTAGACAAGCCAGAGCTACATAGTAAAACCCTTGCTTAGAAATTAGAATGTGCAATCCTAGAACTGGGGAAGTAGAAACAGGCAGATCCCTGGGAATCCATAGCCAGACTGCGTAGACTAAGGATTTCCAGGTCCTATAGGGTATCTGATACGTTCGTACATGCATATCCAGGTGTTGTGGTGCACACCTTTAATCCCAGCACTCAAATGCAGATGGATCTCTGTGAGTTCTGGGCCAGGCAGGAGACATGATGAAACCCTATCTCAATAAAGCAAAAAAGAGCCAGGCAGTGGTGGTGCATGCCTTTAATCCCAGCACTAGGGAGGCAGAGGCAGGTGGATCTCTGTGAGTTCAAGACCAGGCTGGTCTACAAGAGCTACTTCCAGGACAGCCTCCAAAGCCACATAGAAACCATCTCAAAAAACAGAAAACAGACAAAAAGCAAAAACACACACGTATGCTCCTGGCAAGATTCAGTATGTTGCATGAAGTGTGTTTAGTGCATACCAAGTGTGCAGTTAAAGCTATTGTCAGCAAGCAATTAATTATACCTACAATGTACTCCATTTAAGTAATCCAATCAAGCATTCCTTACAATGTGTTTCCTCTTTCTGTTCACTTTTTCTGGTGCTGGGGTTAAAGCTAGGGCCTTGGCACTCACTCCACCAACTGAGTCTCAATCCTCTCTTCCTCTTTCTGATCTGTTCCCTAAGCAACAGGAGTCCTTTCTCCCTTCTCAGAGCTGGTGCCCCTGGACTCTCACCAAGACACTGCACACTTGACAATGTTGGCCTCTGCCACCAATCTGTGAACCTGGACTCTGTGACCACAGGCACTCCAAAGGGCAGGGTCAGGAGATGGAACACGGGAGAGACTGGAATTACTGTGTGGGTGCTGAAAAGAGGAGAGTCAGTGCAGCAGCAAGTCTGCCCCTGAGTGACTCTGAGAAGGTGGACTTGAGCCTGGAGATAGCTGGGAGATTGAGAAGGGACACGTGGCTTAACTCCGGAGCAGCTTATATCAAGGCAATGGGATAGGCGCCTTACAAGATCTGGGAATCCACTCAGGCTGGGCGTGGCAGGAGGGATCCTTAGGATCTCTGAGAGTCTTCCAGCTCTAGAGCTCTAAGGGAGCTCTTTGGACAACAGTTCTCAAGAGTGCCACCCTTGGGGTGATCAGCGCCACAGGCTAATGAGGGGGAATGGTGTGGAATGAATGTACTCTACTGAAGAGTGTGTCCCAGGTGTGCCGGATGGGGCAGACTCAGGTTTGCAAAAAACAGGAACGCTCACGTGCTGCAGCATAGAGGAGCCCAGCCAGCTCAAATCCACAAGTCCCTTTCCCCGGAGGGCGTGGCCTAAGTGTGGCACCGCCTCCAGCCCGCCCCTCGCCGCGCGGGACTAGCGAGTTAAGCAGCCGGCCTGTTGAGGTCAGAGGAGGCGGGCTGCGCGTCCAAACCCAGCGCCTGCGCGTGCTGAGGGCAACCGGGAGGAGAGACAGAGCGTGCGGCCTGGGTAACCGGATTCCGTGACACCACTTGGACCACGCGCCACCACGGTCTTCCCGGCATGGAGGGCGAGTGCCGGGTGCTCTCCATCCAGAGCCATGTCGTCCGTGGCTACGTGGGCAACCGGGCGGCCATGTTCCCGCTGCAGGTACGCGCTCTACCGCTTATGTAAATCGGGCTGCTGGCGAGTCTGCTGGATCGCAGCGTACTTCCCCGGACCGATGACCTTGATCCTTCTTGCGACCACCCTTGGGTCCCCGTTGCGAGCTGGGCGCGTTACGAACAGAGCCGGGGGCATGCAGGCGGGGGCGTGGAATATGCTGGGGAGCTTGCAAGTAGGGTGGTGCAGGTGGCACGAAGTCCCCTGCCCGGCTGGGGCGCAATGGGTCCCTGCTGCTTCCGGATGACTGGCCAGCAATGGGCGGGGGATCCCCGAGGCTATGAAATAAGGAGCTGGGAGGATCCTGCTTTTCGAAAGCTCAGACAGCCTTTTGGTAGACACATAGGCTTGTGATTGCTCATTCCCTACTGAAATTCAGATTCTGTCTCTACCTACCCATTGAGCTTAAACCAGGAGAACTCTGGACCACACTTTGGGTTTTAATACTCTTGGGGTGGTCTTTAATATGGTGGGATGGGGCTGGAACCACCCTGCACCATCTGCAGGCCTGTCTGATAGATCATTTTGTTGACTTTCGCTTTGGAAGCAACCTGTTAGAAGGGCTGTAGCCTTGTCATCTTCCCAGAGCCTCTTCCCACAAGGCTGTCTGTGATCATTTCTGACCCATGGTGTTTCCTACTTGTGACCTGGTGGCCCTAGGAGAAAACCAGGGTGCAGTGGGTATTAGAATGGAGCCTGGAGGCACTGTAGAGTGATTGGCACGTCCTTGCCTGGCTGGTCCAGCAGGAAGATCGACCTGACCTGGCCAGCCAGGTCCTTCACTGTACCTCTTTGGTTGGACAATAAGCAAGGTGGTAGGTTCCTGTAGCCCTTCAGCTCAAGCCCAGCCACTATCCTGACCCCTGGGGGACATTAGGAAGGAGCACCTCACTCACTACCACGGACCTGCAGGGAGGATCTGGAAGGAAGACAGGTGGCCCAGAGCACTACCTGAGCTCAACCCGAGGGCTGTCCTGAGACAGTCATGTTTGGCAGACAAAATAGGGCAAATGGTTATGGGTGTACAGTACAGGGGTTCAAGTTCACAAGCACAGGGCGGTTGCTGAGACTTGAGCTCCTATTGGTTGATAAGCAATTCTCTACCCACCCCCAACTCCTATTCTTGTTCTACCCAGATGCACTGGCCTGGCGCTTCATGCTCTTACCCGTTGTTCTCTAGCTTTTGGGGCAGAGGAGGGTAGCAAGGTGACTGAGGTGAGACTGTTCTTAGGAAAGGGGGTAGAGTCCCTGAGGCAGGGACAGCCAGGGAGGGTGGAGTCAGGTTGAGCTCCGAGCAGCCCCCTCACCTTGGGCAGAGGTGTGCAGGGCTCTGAGGCCCTGTGTCCTGCATCTCTTCCTCTTGCCCTTGCTGAGCCTCTGCCTTCACTGAGTCCCTGGCTGCCCTGGCCCTCTGTCCTCTAGACTGCACCAAGGGCTCAGCTTCTTAATTCAGCTGAAGACATGGTGCCCCACCTGCTCAAAGGAGGAGGCTCTTCTTAGCTTCTTCCCTCCAGAGAGGAGCCGAAGGACCTGGGGACTCTTTTAGGGTCCCTGTTGGCATTTTGCTGCTCAACCATACATAGCTCTGCAGCCCTGGACAGGGAACAGCAATGGGAAGGGTAGGGAGGACACCTCCAACATGGAGAGCCTTAGTGAGCACATGTGGGGCTGGGCTGGCACCATCAGAGTTTGTGGTGGCCTGGGGCCAGCACTATAGTCTGAGCAGCTGTTCCAAGCGGAACAGCCCTCGGGTCCAGAGCTGTTCTCTCTCTGTGGAGGTGGGGTGTGTATAGTCTAGAGCATAAAGTCTCATTCCCATTGCTGACTATGGGAAGAAAAGCTAGCAAGGGGGAGAATGGAGTCTTGGGCTGGGGTCCCAAGATTTGTCCCAGAGCTGCTCTAAGAAGGTCGCAGGTAGGAGGCTGGGGAGGCCTCTTGGGCCTTTTCCAGGTGTCTGTCCAGCCATGTCAGAGTAGTGGCTAGGGAAGTTTCTGGGCCTGACTTGTGGCCATGGCCGCAGCTGTGGAGATCCCTCTAACCATGGGGCACAGACAGACCCACACACCTGGACCCTCAGCTCTGCCTCCCCGGCACTGTCTGCAATGTCTTCTGAGCTCCTGCCTTCCCAGTCTCCCACAGGCAGCCGAGAAAATAGTCATAGAAAGAGGCAGCAGACCCCTCCCCCTGTTTTCAGATTGTGTCTCTGGCCCCAGGTCAAAGGTTTCATGGGAGGTGGGGAACCAGGTGGAACCCTTCAAGGCTTGCAGAGCAGAAAGAGGGTAAAGGGAAAGTGGGGGGTCAGGGTCCTGTCTCCCTGCCCCTCCCTCACCGCTTTTTCACTCACCTCTGCAGCAGGGGGAGGGCCTGTGAAGCGGGGCTTCTGCTGTTTGGGCTCTAGACTGTAGGGTGAGAGGGAAGGGCAGGGTGAAGTCCAGTGTGCCTTGTTGCCTATTCCTCACTTACTAGGCAGCAGCTTGCCTTCCCTTCTTGCTTTCTGTGGTGCTGAGTACCCAACCCAGGGCCTTGTGCTTGTTTAACAAGTGCTCTTCCACTGAGCTGTGCCCCAAACTCCTCCTCCTCCCATGCTCATCCCCAGAGACAGGGTTTCTCTGTGTAGCCCTGGCTGTCCTGGAACTCCCTCTGTAGACCAGGCTGGCCTTGAGCTCACAGAGATCCACCTGGCTCTGTCTGTAATTGCTGGGATTAAAGGCATGTGCTACCACACTAGGCTTAGATACTCCTGTGAAATGCTGCTGTGGACAGAGCCAGGTTCTTTGCACACATGCTGAGTAACTACAGCCAGCTAGTTTCCAACCCACTTCTTCCTGGAAGAGGGAAGAGTCAATATCTGGAGGGTGTGTACATACATGCACAGGTGTACATATGAGCATTCCCTGGCATGCACATAAGTATATTCCCTGGGTTTCCTGAGCTGTGTGTGTGTGTGTGTGTGTGTGTGTGTGCGCGCGCGTGTGCGCGTGTGCGCGCGCGCGCGCGCGCACACGGAGAGGACTCAATGATCTTTCCCCATCAGATAGGAAAATGAAGTGTTGAAGAATGGTCCAACTATGACTTGTGCTGGCTGTCTAGTTGAGATTCCCAGAGAAGCTACCTAGTTCCTATCAAGGCCTGGGCTCCTTGGGTCACTAGTTTAGGCATAAGTCTGTCAGCTCATCAGAGCCTGCCACCCCCACCCTCTCTGGGGCATGAAAGGGAGCTCATCCTGGGGCAGTATGCAGAATTCTCTCTGGTAGAGAGACCATGGCACAGAGGAAGGGCAGCTCCTGCAGGGGGTGAACTAAGGCCACATTGTGCAACTCATTTGGGGTCAGGAATACTGTTTTGACACTTCCCCAACAGAAACTCAACCACTTCCAGCTGTCTGAGCCAGATGAGAGCAGCTGGCCAGTTGATACACAGAGAGTTCCTGACCAGCTTGTATCTCAGCTATCTGGAACCTAGGTGAACATGTATCTGGGTTACTGAGTCTCAGAGTGACCTGGCAGCAACAAGTGCTGGCAAGGTTGGCCAGTTGATGTCACAGTAGGTTTAGCACACGGTCCCTCTCCTTAGGGCTTCACTGTGTAGCTTAACAAGGCAGAATTCAGCAGCTAGACATGGAACCTGGCTATGCCTGTCTAGCACTGTAATCCTGGAGTGAGTGCTGTGAGCCAGGCTGGGGGTGACCACAGGACCTGGAGATGCTTTGTGGGAAGCATGCTTTCTAGTAGCAGTTCACCATGGAGATCAGAGGGTGTGGTTTGGCTGGATTGTAAGGCTTAGCAGTGACCAGTGGTGGGAAGGAAGTGGGGCCTTTGGCTGTAAGGTTGCTCTGGGTGACAATGGTCACAAGATGCTTGTCCAGCCTGCTTGCTGATTCCCATCTGTGAAAGAACCAGGGACTGGTTCTCCAGAGCTGGAAACACCAGTGAGGCTGGGCCTGACCTCCTGTCTGTCCCTAGATGCATGTGGAGGAACCACACTGGAATATTCCAGAGCTCACCCCACTGCTGTTGTGCTGAGTCTCTCTACCCCACTTGGAGTTTAGTTGAGCTATTGCTCTCAACAGATTCCTCTGGCTGTGTGGCTTCAGGCTGTGTGTGAGTCTCTTTGCTGGAGGTTTTAATGATGCAGCAATGGAGGCAGTTATGGGGTCCCTGAGATGTTCATCACCTGCCCACACAGCCACCCCAGCATAGCACACATCACTGCTGGAGGTGGGGGTGGTCCTGAGGTTGCATGAGGGACAGGAGGAGCCTGTGTCTGGCAGCCATGGGTAGCAGGAAGCAGGAAAGGCAAGCTCATGCTTCTGTTTGGCTGTCCCTTTTCTGGGTGTCACTTGCACTCATATGGAGGTGGTGTTGTCCCTA